TATGTGAGATTTCCCCAGTTGTTCGACGTTTCCTCTTCGACGAACCTCTAATTGGGTGCTTGGAAATCCTGATACCGTATTTTGTTAGTTAGAGACGCAAGAAAATACTAACTGTTTATAATCTTCATTTGTCTTTGCACAAGAACATCAGAAACTGTTGCAAACATTCGAGTAACTGTTCCAGAGAACGTGATCCGCGATACAAGCGTTCAAGTTTACGTACCGTTACTTTAATTGCTTTCTCGTATCGTTGCTGTAACCTACTTTTTGATTTCTGCGAAAAAAGAAAGAAACGTACGATAAAAAGTGAAAACAGAGAGAAGAAGAAAGTGGGCTCTTCGCGTGTATAAGGGAAAAAAAAGTGTGAAAAGGAAGTAGTTTTATTGTATCAGTTGGTGTTTCATTGTTTTCTTAAGATGCGATGTGAACCAGATTACAGACAGGTTCTTAATTATTTCTGAGACGTTGGATTTCACGTGCTCGTTTGTTCCATAACGCTTCAATTTAGTCATTTGTGAACAGGACACTCTAAACTCTAATTAGGGCTTGGAGGACCAATTAAGCCATTCAGGAAGTTGATGAACTGTTTCCCCGCGAGTCTTCAAGCTGATACTCTCTGTGATACTATTGACTTCAAAAAAAAAAGAAAAAATAATTACTATCGTACGAATAGGATATTTTGAAATAGATATTTAATGAAATAGAAAAAAATAATTTTGAAGAAAGTAAAAATACTTTAACGTAGCAGTATTTGTTAAGATTTTCTATTTTTTTATTTCCTATAAAAATCTACGAAGATGAACTTTTTTCTTTCTACGCATTTTACATATTTTATTAATATGTCGAGCATCGTGTGAGCCATTGATATTAAAATACGTATGATATCGTGATGTTTGCGCCCACGACGTATTAAAAATGACCAGCGATATCAAAAATTAATCACGAGTGCTTCGCTTTATTAAGATATCCTATATCAGACAAGTTATTTATGTAATTCTCGTAACTCACTCTGAATTATTCTACACGTATCATTCAATTTTGAACTGTATCATGTGAAAATAGATTTTTGCTGTAGAAAAAGGGCACGAAAAATTCATTCAACAGTCAACACATTGAAGATCCACAATTGTACTTCTCTTTTTTTTATTTTGAGCAAAAAAGAAAAAAACAGAACTTGTCTAATTTAAAATATATTTTTTCCTCTCAGAGAGTGCTACACCAAACTCTGTAATTTTATTTTCGAAAGCCTCGCAAAGGCGAAAAATCGATGGGCAACCGATTGATAGAGCAGACTCTCCATCCGAACACCGTGTTCCTTAAATAGATCGCATAAATAATTTCACTATTTTTAACGGGGCGTATAAACGAATGAAAGACCCATAATGTGGCTCCAATGGAAACGTTTCAATGATCGTATAAATATGTGTTATCACGACATTCGACGATAAATATGCGTATGCAGAATTCGCTCTCTATAATCAGTTAATCACGGAAAGCTGCTCTAACGAGGTTGAAGGCAACTCTGCACGCGATCCAAGAATCAATCACGTAAGTGATCTCTAAGTAAGTTGGTCGTGTTATCGCGTTTCCATCGGCCACGGACGAACCTTTGTTGGTCAGTATACCGCAGGAATGTAACGACGAACGAAATGGAGAAAGTATTTTCTGATCTCGATTGAGAAATGGTCAGGAATCACGAAGAGAATCCAAAAGAAGGATAATCCGAATGAATGTAAATATGATTTAAAAGGGTAGTTGAAGGATTCCTTAGGTCGATTTAGGGTAGATATAGCCATTTGTGGGACTTTATGTTTTTCTTGATAGCGCAGAACAGAGAAATTATATATACTATATGCTTCTTATCGTGGAAGTTTTCTTTATAAAGAAAATATTTGATTTATTCAAAATTATTACTGCTACTGTTGGTATAATTAATTTTGTAGATTCGTTAGATTCTCATGAGACGACACATACTAGATAGTTATTAAATGATGAACATACAACTGATATAAACTGTGTCCTTCTGATTGGAGCCAGACAAAATTCTTCGAGGAAAAATACGAATGTCAGGGCTTGTTCTTCTGTAGATGGTAGTTATTTTATTCCATGCATCGATTATTAAAAATATCGTGTCAGTAGCTGATCAACAATAAGAATATTTCGCGCAAAATTCTGAAAATTCAGCAAAACCACGTTGGCCGGTGTCTAAAAGATTTTATCGAAGTGTCAGTGCCGTTATTTGCGCACAGCATTAACGAGTAGTATCATCATGCAAGCGTCATTATTACAAAATGCAAGAAAAGTGATATTTTCAGTAAATAGGAAGAGAGAAACAAGTAGGGAAAAATTGCATTGCACGTCTTCGAATAAAGAAACGATAAAACGCGTAATACTGACGAATCGTTTTTGAGCGACAGTATTATTGTGTTCGATAGTTTATCTTCATCAAGTGATTGGTCGAAGGGCGGGATAAAATTGCCGACGATAACCGAGAAAATAACGTTTCTGCGAACGTTCTGTTTTTAGGTTAATGCGCAACCATCAATTTCATTTTCCGCAATTTGTTTTGCTTCCGCGTGAATTTTTCTTACATCTTTCCGTATCCTTCGCGTCGTCATGTTGTTTTGCCAAGAAATTCTAACTTTGAACTTGTCGCTGAACTGAATTTTTATGAAACGAATAATTGAATATTTTATGAAACGAATAATTGAATATTTTACTGCACAGGTGCAGCGTGTGCAGCTCTTGTTGATTTTATGCAGAATATGAACGAATGTTGGTTAGTGTAATTCTTGCAACGATTGCATGTGAACGACGTTCTAGCTTCAGTAGTTTTTATTCTCTGTATCACACATAACGAGAATATATGCGTAGAAAATGAATTGCCTGCCTCGATGTTTCAATAAATAGTTTTTAACATTTAAGTAAATAATTTGCAAAATCTGACAGAAAGGTTCATTCGCGTGTATATTTTTAGAAAAGCACAACACATGGATATGATACATACAAATATAGAAAATGTAATTTCTAAATTATATTCGTAAGATTTCTTCCTGAAATAAATATTTCTAATTGCGAGAATTGTTGTTTCTTCCTCGATCCTTTTTTAGTAACAAATAATTCATAAATATTCGTCTCTCGTTACCTGATCATTATTAATTTCAATCCAAATATACAAGACTACTTGTTGAGATGGACAGATCTTTTTTACACTCAAAATTTCAATTGTTTGCAATTGATTGAAAGCAGATATGACTGACCGTTTAAAAGGGTATTCTAGTATTAACTTTTGAAAAAATTGCATACTCTTAAAGGACATAGTTTCGAAAATACATCTCTGTAACCCTACATGTGAACTCCTAAAATTAACGAAGTTATGGTTGTTTGAAAGACGCGACGACCAGCGTCATTGTTACCGCAATACTAAACTTTAAAGGCATTTTTCTGGAAACTATGTTTTTCAGAACGGTGTCCATGATATCTCAAAATCTACTTGACCAATTGACTCAAAATTTTAAGTACGCATTTAGTACATGTGACTATAGCCTCTACCAGAATCGACCAAAAAATTTTATTTTTTATATTTTTTTAGGCTTCCGAAGTTTAACAGAAACATGCAAAAATCGATAATCGAACTTCAAAGTATCGCCACTTTTTTATATAATTACCGACTTTTTTCTCTTGTTTTGGTACCTGCTATAGCCAAACTCATGCTAATTAAGGAACATTCACGTTTTGGCCGGTATCATGGACACCGTGAGACGACCATTCTTAAAAGCGACTATGTATGTTTGAGAGTATGCATTGCCACTAATTTTAACTTTTTTTTGTCCCAAAAAATCTTAAAAAGTCGTTGAAATACGTAGAAATAAATCTTGTCAATTCGACTTACAAAAGGTGTAATAGTTTCTTTGCAAAAAAATTCCCTAACAAAGTTAAAAGAAACACACACACACTAGAACACCCCCTTAAGGCCTCCGCGTATCGATGTATATTTCAATTACGATACGACCGAGTGTAAAGCGGCATTTATCGCAATAACAACGACGCGATGAAGTTACAGTCACGTGCACTTATATCGGTACTCCTCAATTGGTCATTCGAACATCGAACGACCGCATATCGGACGATGTTCGCATAGATAATGGCGCTTACGATATTACGATATGCCCACGATGTGACGACTTGGAACGATTGTCGAGGTCAAATCTTTTTTGTTGCTGCACTCTTTATAACATCGAGCACTCGCCGGGTTATATATAAATTATTGGCTTGGAAAATGTTCTTTTTCTTTTTTCGTAGCTAGCGTAGTCAGAGACCCAGTTTATCCTCTCACGAGAGAATAGCTTTCATACATTTCACAACCGCGTCACTATCTCCAGGATTGTTCGTGAAGTTTGAAATTAATTATAAACGCGATCAGTTCTGCTTAATTATCGCTGTTGATTAACTTTCGCGCCGGTTTGTAACAATCTTCCAGTCGTTCGATGTTTGGCAACTTGTTTGCGTTTGATTGTCTTTGCAGAAAATTAAAGTGTAATGTATTTCATTCTTAAATACATTTATCTCGTTGTACGTATGTTTCTTTTTTTTTTTTTTTTTTTTTTTTTTTTTTTTTTATAAGTAACTGTGTTTTTCTTTTCGTTCAACAAAGTAGAAAGGAGGTGTCTTGCATAATAAGCTGACGTTGCAGTTTAGATTTGCGCTAATCCACGAAATTGTGTTATCAAGAAAAATATTCGACGCGTATTGTTCTAAAGTCATATCAAACGAAATAAACGGACAGAGCCGCCTTTGTTGCTGGGTATCATCCATTATATTACCGTGCACTATACGTGTATTCCAGTAACTGTAACCTCATTACTCGCAAGCTCGGCTATCAAGCGCACTGGCTCAATTCTAAACGTTTATCATTCGCACTGAATGCAGCGAAAGTTCATTCGCACTCGGCAGGTTCGTTTACCCTTATCCTTGGGACGAAAAAACATTGCACAACACAATTCACTGTTAATTAATTTATTGTTATGTGTTTAATTGAAATGGAATCTCTTAACATATAATATATCTAATTAGACAAGTACTCGGTGGATTAAGTACAATAGAATTAAGATAACAAATGCATAGCTCAAATAAATAAAAATAATTAAATGCAATCAATAATCATTAATCAGACTGCGGATGGGAATTTATAGGAAAAATGCGCGGAATGCGTGTAATATCCAAATGTGTAATATCTTGAAGTGCTCGAAACGGAGCGCTTGTCATAATCAGGAGATGAATTGCTGCGATAATTCGAACAAATTATCAAGGATACAGAGATCAATAGATCAATAATTTCACGATTCGAAACAACTTAAATAATTTTTTCGAAATTATATTACGGAATCTCTTCTCCTCTAACAAGTAGAAAACGTTTGGAACATCAAAGCCTTCTGTTTATCGCTGCAAACTCTCTCCGTTCGTACATCTTCTCAGTAATCAAAATTTCGATAAAAAAGAGTCCGCAGTCTGATTCGTGAGTCGCGCGCCACGATCTTAATATCCCATTTCCTCCGACTCGACGTCATTCACATCGCGCCTGAATCTGAACCCACCCTGCACACCGAAAGTAGGCGATATTCTGCCTCCGGGAAACCGTTGAGCCCCACCAAATCCACCAATGTGCCCGTTTTTGAAGTCACGGTCGAAAGTGAGGCCTCCGTGCGGCTGAGCAGACTGTCCTGAACGAATGTTCATTCCACCGTACGCGTCCGTCCTCCATCCATTTTTCTCGTGGATGTGTTGTTTGTAGTCGATGTCTAAAGACGGGCGACGATCCGGTCCGCCTATGGGTTTCGTTGCAGTAACGACCACAGATCCTTTGCTATCATCTCGTCGGAAACGAGGCGAGCCCTGGCAAGGGAAAAAGAAAGAAAAAATATCGGTTAACATGTTAAATAACGTATGAAATTAATATAATGTTAATTAATATATTATTAATATCGGATTAATGAGAGAAGGAATTTGAAATGAGGAGGTGGTATGTTGGAGATTATCGAAAACAAGAGGTGACGAAAGAGTAATTTGTAAGAGTAATTTGGAATGTTGATATTTATATATTTGATGTAACAATTGCATCAAATTTATATTATATTATATTTCACATAGCTGATATTTGAGAAGTGACGAAAGAGTT